AGGTCTCCCCGGAGCCTTCTCTTCTCCAGGCTGAACAAGCCCAACTCTCTCAGCCTGTCCCCATAGCAGAGGGGGAAATGTGTCAGGAAAGTTGTACTAACCACCAAACCAGAGGCTGAATATAAAAAGGGGGCCCTGTATGTTCACACTTGAAAGGCATTTTAAGGGATGTAGATGACATTAGTTCTGTCCTGCAGCAATGCTGCAGAACAGCTGCACCTTAGCTGGTAACAAGTCTTTGCTAGACACAGACTAAATTAAATTCTTCCTCTAAGAAAAAACCTCTAGACTTTTTTTTATTATTATTATTTCTGGTGCCACTCCTTGGTCCGTGGCTCTGCTCACCGAGCGTTTTATACAACTAGCTAAGCATTCCCAAAAACCAGCAAGCGGCAGGGGAAGGAATTGGGAAACCGGCAGAAAACAGGCTGTTCTAAGTGACTCTGCAGGAGCGTAAGAGCAGTGCGATCACGGGGGGAGCTACGGCTGGCAATTACCTGCTCAAGTATTTCAGGCGCTGGCAGTTGTGGTAATTGGGATAGAGGATTTCAGAGCTTGCTTCGTCAGTGACAATGACAACAGATCCTGTGGAAGGAGAAGGAAGCTTCTGTCATCACCTGGGTGTCTTTAGACTGCTTTAATCACTCCCCCAGTCTTTGTGCACAAGTCCACTGTTGTCAGCTAGCAATTCCCCCCGAGCTACCACCTGCAACACAGGCCGCTCCGCTCGCTTCTGTGCGCACAGCATTAATTCTGCGGGGATGTCTGCTGTGCACCTGGCTAAGCTGCTAGTCGCGTGCTCGTTTTTCCTAGCACTTGTATGCAGCAAACATTAGTTTCTACATCACGAGGCGTAAGGAGCTCTGGCAAGTCCCTTCTTCACTGGAACTGAATGCAGAGGGAGCAAGACCTTCAAAGCCCAGAGTGCATTTCCAGGACCTACAAGTAGTTGTCAGCCGAGGATACAGCCGAGCGTTACTCAGATACCGAACTCGTGAAGGATCTCGGTACTCCTATAGCCGAGATGCACATCTGAAAAAGGTTCCTCAGAAACCCCTGAACCTCGTGAACACTGGACCCGGAAATTTGCGCCCCCTTGATTCTGAAGTGGGTTAATGCTAACCTCCTCAGCAGGTCTGAAACTGCAGCACTCATGGCAACAGATCCCAGCTGAGCATCAGCAGAAAGCTACATCAGAGAGAGGGAGCGAGTGACAAGTTCGAGATGCACATCTGAAAAAGGTTCCTCAGAAACCCCTGAACCTCGTGAACACTGGACCCGGAAATTTGCGCCCCCTTGATTCTGAAGTGGGTTAATGCTAACCTCCTCAGCAGGTCTGAAACTGCAGCACTCATGGCAACAGATCCCAGCTGAGCATCAGCAGAAAGCTACATCAGAGAGAGGGAGCGAGTGACAAGTTGATC